TTTACATGTTACGGATATATCGTCCTTGCTCAAGGATATGGAGTCCGAAGATATGAATTATGTTAATACGCGTATACTACGGTAATTGATAATGATACGTTAAGTGTTTCGTGAAATAATTGCCTCTGAGACTGCGTGTGGGGCATTTATCTGATATAACTGTCTGATTTTACTTACCTATATGGACGCGCAAATTGAAACCGGTTCGAATAAAAATCCAAATATGGAAAGCGTTTTTCTTTCACGTCACTTTCCATTAGGGGCGAGGTTTCGTAGAAAGTTACTCATATGTGTTAAATAAATAATTTAATAAGAAAATTAAGCTTTCCTTATGTTAATTAAATGTTGTTAAATTAACAACATAATATATTTTAAAAAGCGGGATAATTAAATAAAATTATTTTCACCTATTAGACATATAATTAACTATTCCAGAAATATCACCGTGCTAAATCCTGGATTATATAAAAAATTTCTAATAGGTGTTTTGGTAAAGTAACATATCCGGTTACGTAATTTGATTGGTCTTACATTTACATATTTTTCTAGAATAGAAAAGTTTATGCAACATTTAATTTATTTATCTCATTTTAAAGTGCCAACTCATATGTAAAAATAAAAATAGTCGTCTAGATTTCATTTCGAATACAGTATCCGGTCTCATGTATCAAATTGACACAAAGCTAGATATAAAAACTTTTCTTCGCAATCTTCCAATTAGTATTCAATTTGACTCATAAAACGGAAGCATTACAAGCAGAAATGTTGGGCATATTACAAAACAGTGCAACAGGCCACCTAATTCGAAGGTGGTAATAAACGATTGATAAACGGTTGATATTTTACTCCATAATTATGTGTATATAGTTACTACATAATTAATATATCGTCTTAATTTGAATCTAGCAGATTTATAAAGACCTACATACGTAAATGAATAATTTGAAGTATTTTTCGTATAGTAGTGTGAATAAAATTAAATTGTATCTGGATGCCTTTTTTCTTAACATTTGTGTACAATATTGATATTTTTGGTTACACTGCATTACAAAAACATATTTGTGACATAATTACGGTTTTGGTATTTGCAGTCGTCCCAATAAATTACCACTTTGTTTCCTTCTTCTGCATTTTGATGAGTTGTTAGAAATCTTAGAAGTTCTCAGAAATCTATTCATTTTATAGTTTAACACTTTTCCAAAATGTCTATCACTAAATAACATTCTTAAAATTTTACAAAAATTGTCGGGAAATTAGTTCTTACTTTGACACATAATATCATGTCGATTATCCGAAGTCAAAAGGACTACTAGAATTAAGAAAACCACTCTGCGCATACTATACAGAGTGAAATGAAAGACTGGAAGTACCTAACTTACTCCTAAATGGGTAGCCGAAGTGGTATAAAATTTGGAATTTGCTTATTTTGAGATACGACATGTGTTTTTCGACTTCTTGTCTTTCCAGTGTCTGTCAAACTTCTATTTTTTATTACTTGTCTCCTTCCATATTCCTTCTTCACTGTCTAGTACCTGATTTGACTTTATAGCCTCCTTCCAATCTTGCCCCTCTGTTTCCAGCCTCTCTCCTGTCAACACAGACCCTTTTTATTATCATCATCTCACTTCTGCGCCAAAACCTTTTATTGCATTTATAGTTGCTTTCCTTTTTCTAGTCTCTGTTTGGTCTATTTGTTCTATTATCCAGCCTTCCATAAACTCTCTGTATAGTATTATTCTTCTGTTATCTGTCTTTCTCTTCTCTGTCTTGTCCCTGTTTTTTTAGCGATTTATTTCCAGTCTCCTTTTCTAACTGTCTCATTTTCGCTTTCCAGTTTATCTGGAATCTAGTCTTTCTATTATTAATCTGTGTCAGTTTTTTCTATTAGTGGTCTACCTCCAGCATTCTTCTCTGTCTTTGGATTTATAGTCTTATTTCCATTTCCCTTCATTGTCCAGTCTCTTTTTTCTCTTTGCAGTATCTGTTTAGTATCTTTCGTCTACTACGAGTTTTTCTTTTCTCAGTCTAGTCTCTTTTATGCCTATACAACCACTTTACGGTGAAATCAAAATCATGAGAATGAAACCTAAAAATTTCGAACATAAATGTTTTACTGGAAAAAGGTAGCACACTTTTATTTTATTAAAATCCGCAGCACCTAGCGTAAGATTAGTAAGTTTTAACCTAAATTATCTAGATGTGTGTCTTAATAATAATGGTGGTGTCGCGGTCATGTTTTTCAACTTTAGTCACTAAATTTTGGTTTTTAGTTACTTCACTATGTTTTGCTTTTTTTCAGCCGACGCTCTAATTCACTGTTGTCAAAAAGCTGGTCCACACAGGTACCAAAATTTGCTTGTATCTGCGTAGTTCTTTTTGAATCGACAGGGTTGATCCTCGGTCCAGTAACTAGTAAATTTTACGATATTTGAGGTCCAATTGCTTAGACTTGACGTATACTTCCACCTAATCTTCGCATCCAGTGTCTATTTAGGTATTTTGGTATTTAGCTGTATCAAAAGTATCTGTACCAGATGCATTCATCTTTTCTCGTCAGATTTTAGTTCATGCGTCAATTTGGTTTATAGCAGTCTGTAACTTTTGAGCCGATTCTTCAACACTTTCACCGACTACAAAATCTCGTCCGGTTAAGTAATATTACTAGTATATAACAGGTATAAAATTGGACGAAGTACGTTCTAGTAACGTAGTAGTTACCCTGGGGTACTTCAGCTTCTATAGCACTAGGGAAGAGCACAAACTCATACCAACTGGAAAGTTAAGAAAAAACTAGTAACAGAAGAAAACGACTGAACAGAAACTGGAAAAAGAAAATGGGATAGTTTGGAAAAGAGACAGAAAGACGAAGACTGGTAACAGAAGATTAAACAGAGTCGAAATATTTGGTAATAGAATAAAGAGACTAAACAGAGACCGGAAAGAGCAACAAAACATTGAACTTAGAGGAGAGAGACTGGAAAGGGACTATAAAAGCAAGAAAAGGACTTAACACAGAAATTGGAGGTTGGAAAGGAACTAGTGATGAAAGAAAGAGCTTGGGATAAGACGAGAGAAAGACTCGAAAGATATTGGCAGTGAGTGAACAGAGACTGTAAAGACAAGAAGTCGACCAGTAATAAAAAAAATAGACTGTACGGTGCACGCAACGAGGACACTGAACGAAAAGTAACTGATGTACAATAAATAAGTTGACTGTTCAGTTGGCTTCTAGTAGTTGATATAATTACTGCTTCTTATGATTTTGCAAAAGCTCTTGGAGAGGTATTGTTCGAGTCCATGACAGAAAACTGAATTGCCTTTCAAAAAAAAAAACTCCCAACTAATTAAGGCAATCAATTTTTGGCATTAACAAGGTGCAGATAAAGGTCTACTGTAAGCATTATTTTCGCTATGCTAACAATTTTTTTATTTTTTCCTTACCGAATTCCATTAAAAGTAGATTTCCCAGTTATGTAATTGCATTGATGTTGTTTGGTTTTTGGTTGTAAATTATTTACTAACATGCGCCTGAATTAACTAAAGAAGAACAAGTAAAATAAGACGCAAGGTGTACCACAGTATTCCTAAAGATAATGCTTGAAGAATTCTTGGATATACTTTGGACTGTTAAACCTTTAAAACCTCAATATAGATCTCGTTTATGACAAATATTTTTCCAATTGGACAATTTGCAGTCAATATTAGGTTTGAATCATCTTATGTGAGCAGACTTATATTAATAAACGTACAAATTTTACAAGCTGTGCTCCAGATTTCGGAATAGTGATGAAAATCATCCAATTTTAATTAAGATGCACAATAAAAAATATATTAAGTGCCCTAGATCACAACACGCCGGAAGTTAGCAGCAATAAGTCCAGAATGAAATTTATATTTTAAAATAAATTCAAACCATGGATTACTTTTAGAACCTCTTAATAATACTTTAAGATAATTTATCTCTAATATGTTATTAATTAGTTGGTTATTAATTATTAAAATAAATCAGATTTTACTGTTATTATTTTCTCAAACTCTTTGTTCAATCATCCTGTATAAAATGGACAAGTTATCTACAAATTCATCACAACAGGATTCCATTAAATCTGCTCAGACATAAGCAGATGATGTATTAAAACGATAAATTGTTTTTGTGGCCAGTTGTCCGCTCGGAAAATAAACGGAAGGATTTTATTACCTTTTGCATCTCGGCTTCAACTAGTTTGAAATTCAAATAAGTTTATAGCCAGCATAGTTTTGTCGCGGTTTATTGCGGGCGTTTGTTAACCAGCAGCGTGTAATCATGACTCCGTCTTCTTGAGCGGTTAACAAGAAAGCGTATGTGCGAAAGATATGGTTTTGAAATACTAAATGTGCCACTTAGCAATATTATTAGCCGTTGATTTCCATATTCTCCTGTCGATTTTCATTGGATATAACTTGAATTCGAATTTATTCTCTAATTAATGATTTAAGAAAGAAATAAATGATATGTTTATCGATCATGGTGAGATGTGCGCCGACGAATTTATAACGCCTATAAAAATATCTTCTCGATTTTGAAACGCTGAAATAGGAAGAGGTATTCGGGGCAAGATTCCGTCTTGTGAGACAGAACGTGCCGCAAATTTATTCGCGGGATCTTCTTCTCGACAACCAAATAAGAAAAACCAGTCGGCAACTTTGCCAGAGTCCGTGCCTCACGCCAACGTGCGAAGGCTTCAAGTTTGGAAAAGAAATTGCCTCGCTATAAGAGGAGTTAAAGTGCCGCGCCTTAATGCATATTAGTACCAACGAGGAACAGTAGCGCTATAAAACGGGACGTAAATGTGTTTTAGCTTTTTGTTCTTATCCTCTAACACAAAGATACCGCTCCTTGAAATAGAAATATGTTTCTAAGAATTTGATTTACATATTTATTATCGTATAAATGCAGTAAAGATATTTGTCAAAAGATGGTATCTAAACGATCAGCATTTATATTGTCAACGTGTCAAGTATGAAATTGTTGACATTTCTTTAATTTTTCAGGATATTATGTCTAAGCATTCGGTTTGGTTTATCACATCTATGTAGTATGAAGCAGTATCCACATCAACGCGATACCAATTCAAATTTAAATAAATTTATTGTATTAACCTGGAAAAATTGGTTGTTACAATGGCGACATCCAATACAAACAGCAATAGAAATTTTAGCCCCAGTTATTTTTTCGGCCCTTTTAGTTTTAATAAGAAGCTTAGTCGAACCAGAAAAATGTGACACCACGATATATGATGCGTTTCCTGTACAAACTGGAGCAGGAGTGTTTAATTCAACCTACACGTATATAATTATTTTATTTAGATTTTTGTAAACTTTAGTGTTTACATAGTTATTAATTCAATTTAGCTTTTAGTTTTACAAGACTAGTGTGGTCACCGTGTGAAAATACAGCTCTTCAAGAAATTATGAATAATATCGTTAAAAAATACGATTTAAAACAAGTTTGTAAAAATAATTCTTTGGAACTTGAACAAGAACTGGAAAGAAATATGATGTATACGTTAGCTGGAATTGATTTTGGTGATGATGAAGCATTAAGTAATTCAATCAAAAAAGAATCTCGTGTTGCACTGAGATTTCCAGCAGAATTACGAGTATTTCGCGAGGGACTTATTTTTACATTAACATGGAGTACGCATTTATTATTTCCAACTTATCATATACCAGGACCTAGGGTATATGAAGAAAATACTGGTGCCAATCCAAGTAATTTCAAATCCTTAGTCATCGTGCATCATTAAAATGCTTTTTGCTTTAGGTTATTATGATGAAGGATTTTTAACATTACAATATGATATTTCAAGAGAAATTATTAAATACCATATGAAAATAAATGAAATATCCGATAATACTCTTCCGACAGTTATGATGGAAAGATTCCCATATCCAAGTTGGATCAGTGATCCATTGTTGCAAGCATTACAAAATTTCGTTGGAATTATCGTGATGCTAAGTTTTGTGTATAGTTGCATAAATACGGTAAAGGTAATAACCGATGAAAAAGAAAAACAATTAAAAGAAGCTATGAAAATTATTGGTATACCAAGTTGGATGCATTGGACGGCATGGTTTTTAAAAATCCTAACTTTCCTGTCAATTTCAATAACGCTGATGGTAATACTTGCTAAAGTATCATGGAGGACCGATGCACAGTATAATGTTTTTTCACTTACAAAACCTATGGTGTTATTTCTCTTTTTGTTACTCTATGTTTTTGCGATAATTACATTTTGTTTTTTGGTTAGTGTTTTCTTCACAAAAGGTAATATCTACGATCACATACATAGGTGTTTTAGAAGTAGTGATCTAACGTAAATACCATATGGAAAATTTCTAATTATAAATTATGTCGTATTATTTATATTTAGGGAGAGTTGAACAATTTGATGTCCGACTGAATAAGACGTCTTCCTGGGATATCTAATTGATTCGACAGGTTAGTTTTCGCTGTGTTTATTCCTCGAGTGTTAATGTAAGTGATATTATCGTGGAGATTTTTTGGCCTACGTTTCTATTCAATTTTAACTCTTAACCCTGAATACTATAATTGTTACGTATACCTCTTATCACAAAACTTTGCGAAATCGTGCTTCAAGTTACCAGTGCTCATTGAGTGTTTTCGCTTGAATTAAGTTAGATTCGATTTTAGTGGACAAAAAAGGGTTGGGTGGGTTTTAATTGCAAACAACGACTGCGGCATACCTTGTGCTCATGGAGAGAGGTTGAATTTGATTTTAATGGGTAAAGTCTTCTTTTTCCTCCTTTATTTCCAGACTGTTGGAACTGTTGTTCTTGATAAAGTAAGCCTCTGAAATATCTCCTGAGAACTTAGCTGATATCTCCCTTTCCATTCTTCCACTTTGGTGGTCTGTATGGGGGGTTGGTTCCAGACGTAAAACATGGTCACGAACGACCTACCTTGCGGCATTCGTCTTTCTTCTTCTTCTCCACCCAACCACCCCCAAGGCCCCACCACCTCTGCCTACTAACAACTGGCACTACTTCCCATCATAAGTCCTGTCGCCAATCAGTCCCAATCATCTATATCGGTATAATCCACAGTCCTATTCAACTCTCTTTTACCTTCTCTCTTTCTCTTCCTCCTGACCTCCGCTCTCGTCTCCACTCTCCTCCCATCTGGACACTCCTCATAAAAAGTTGTTACCCTCAATCACCCCACACACACATACACATCCCGCTTGTCTCCCTCAGTCGAAACCTTCTGAAATATACATTCTAAGGATCATGTCCCGTCATCAGCTGAATGCCCTTACTGCATATGGCCACCTCACCAATCTATCCATCTTTCATAAACCTATACACCCCTCTACCCTTATCCATTTCTTCTTCCACGCCTCTCTAACAACCTTTACCACCTACCTCCTAAACACATACTTCTGAACACACGCTCTCCTCACATCCCCTTCTACAACCCTTGACTTTACCACCTTACCTGCTCCCCTCATCCTCTCTACACTGCCATCCCACTTCCCTACCCAGTTTCAAATACTTTCACAACATCATTCACCTCCACACTTCTTCTCTTACGCATCATCAACCACCCCACCGTCATACACTGTCATATTGTCGTTATCTATGCCTATTGTCTTCCTTCTCTATCACCCATTCCACCCCTAAGCTTATCGACTGCAGCTTTCTTTCTCTGTATTATGCATAGTACAATTGTATAACACCTAGTAAATACATACTAATTAGTTACTTATTTTCAACACCAAATTTTTCCCAGTGTTCCAGTCTGCTTTACCCATAATATAGATAAATATTGTCATATTTTTACCGTTTCAAGACCAAAATACAAAAACGCGCACACTGCGATACGCGGAACACACGCTTAGGGTGCACTAGTACACTAGGTCACTAAATCGAAGGGCTTCATCCTCTGAAGGCGACGCAGGACATCCTCGTTGTCGAGAAGCTGGTTGGCCTCGATGTTCGGATGATCATGCATTCTCTTCTCATGTTTAGATGCGAATGATGCAATTTCTGATGACACCGATGCTACTTGCAAGTCGCGATGAAGGTCGGTGTTTCTTATACACCAGGGTGCATTCACTATGCACCTTAGTACTTCGTTCTGGAATCTTTGAATCAGACTTGCATTTGTCTTGCAGGTACAACCCCACAGTTGGATTCCGTATGTCCATTTTGGTTTTAATACTTGCTTGTATGTATATTAGCAATTTGTTTCTTAGTGATAGCGTTGATTTTCTGCCAATAAGTCAATATAGGTGTCTAAATTTGATCTCAAGTTCCTCACTTTTTTTTTGTCCTGAGCGTATTGACTCTTTTTTGTCGTCAGTATTTTGCGGTGTCGGCGTAAGGGACTGCAACTACTGCATTGCCATTTATGTGTACTGGGACATAGTTTACTTTCTTATAAGTAAAGTTTATGTATGTCGATTTATTTGTATTTGGTTTTATTAGCCATCGTTTGTTCCAGTTTTCTATTGAATTTAAAGCCAATTGTAACTTATTTGCTGCAACTACTTCATTTTCTGCAACGGCCAAGATCGCTGTGTCATCTACGAATGTAGCTGTTAAAGTCTCTGGTACCTGAGGAAGGTCGAATGTGTAGAGTAAGTACAGTGTTGGGCCAAGCACACTTCCTTGAGGAACTCCGGCTCGTATTTCATGTAGTGGTGAATAAGCGTTTTCGTATTTTACTCTAAAATATCAATAAGAAAGATATGATTTTAATAGTTGACTATACGCTGATGGTAGTATTTGGTCTAGTTTGTAATTTAAACCATCTAACCAGACTTTGCCGAAAGCTTGTGCAACATCCAAAAATACGGCGGAGCAGACTTTAGTTTCTTCCATTACTATGCACTTGGTCTATTGTCGCATGTTTATTCCGAAACCCAAATTGATGTGTTGGTATTAGGGCTTTTCCTTCTATGACAGGTTTTAGTCTTTTTAATAGTAACTTTTCAAGCAGTTTTGATAATAAGAGTAATAATGAGATTGGCCTATATGATGTAACATCTGGGGGGTTTACCAGGTTTTGGTATCATTATTATTTCAGCAACTTTCCATATGCTTGGGAAGTATTTCTGTTTAAAAGAAGCATTAATTATGTGTAATAGTTTTGTAATCGCCCGTTTTGGTAGATGTTTGGTAAGTGTTTGGTAGATAGACAAAGCTGCAGTCTCCACCTAATTAATGGAGACTGTAGCTTTGTCTGAGTTATCGTCGCTACATCTTCCATACTTCCCCTACGCTCACTCATTGCATTCTCACCTACCATCGCCACCACCCCTGCATACCTTTCGTACTGTCCGTATATACTTCTACAACTTCAACCCCTCATTATCCTCATCGTCTCCGGTAACCTTGCAAGAACATTACTCGCTCCTCATACATCTCTCCTATTTGCCCCATTTTACCTTTTTTGTGGCAAATTCTCTTGCGCTGTCTTTCCAATCTCACAATGTCCTAAACCCCTAAAAATTGATTTCTAATGTCGGAGTCCTTAAATCTGTCCCATCTGGCCTTTCTTGAGATTGTTCTTAGAATCTTCATTTCAGCTATTCTTAACATGCTTTTGTCTTCACCTTTTTCAATGTGGTAAGTTGTTTACTTTACTATCCATTCTCATGAATTTGTTCGGCTAAACAGTATCACATAAGGAACCTGAAATTGCGGACGCTTTGTTGAAATGATTTCTCAAGTCCTTTGCGATATGGTGAGTGTTTGAGCTGTACAGAACCAAATAGGAAAACCTTCTAGGCTCTTTTGCTACCACCATGCATTTAGTTTTTGAAGTAGAGACAACCATGTTCAGGACTACTCTCGCACGATAGAATCAAGTTGTCTTTGCAGGTTATCCTCTGAGTTGGCAATTATCGCGGCGTAGCAGAAATGCAGATTTTTTTGGTCTATTTTATATTCTAGGTTTAAAGTTATCATTTTGCTTTGTCTCGGTGACGTATATGTTAATTCTTTGACTACAGTTGCTGTATCATATTGTCCGTTCTCCTCGTATTATGAATACATGACCATACTTCCGTTTGGTTGTAATGAAAAATTTGTCTCTTCTTAAATTTACGCGATAGATAAATCCATCCCTTAACCAATGAGACTGTGTAGCAATCATCATCTAGATAGCTTATCAGGAAGATTGTGGAAGTTGGCATAGTTAAATTATTTTTTAATAAAGTTGAGCCAATAAAAATTTTTTACCGTATTCATCTGTTAATATTAAATATCTTGTTGAACAACCAGTATCTCGCTGCGGGGTTCTCTTCGAAACACAAACGTGAAATGCATTTACATTAATCGAGAACGCAAAAAAACTGTCGCCCCAGTTGTTCGTGTGGTGTGAGACGCGTTACCTTAAATGTTCGCGGCCTGGTTATAACAACTTTTATATGGTGTTCTTCAACTTTGTAACTTTTCTTTGCTATCGTGTTGATTTCAATTCTAATATTCTACAAAGAATTAACTTCATCGTTCAACATGCGTGTGTTTGTTTCGTGTAGTTGAGATAACGGCAACAGTTTATTTTTTTCAAATCAAACATTTTGAAAACTAGTTTTAAACATTTAGATTTTTACATTTTTTTTCTTTGGAACATCTTTGAAAGGAAGTTCAATTACTTTTTATGAATTAAAATTCCATTCGTAAAACATAGAATAATTAAATGGATAGATTGACACTTTCTTAAAATGATCTACCACAGTTCCTGCAATTTGACAACCGAAAATTTAGAGGACAATGATTCTTCCCTCATCTAGTTACGTGTATATCATTATGACTCATGAATGACACGATTCCCTCTATAGGATATCGAGAATTCCCGACCCATCTAGAGCCTAAATTGCTCAACAAAACGCTTGATAAACTTTGAAAAGACCTCTTGGTTCCTCCAACCTGAGTCTTAAGAATATGTTGATTGTACTCGTTAAAGTAATAACAATGATTTTCACTTTCTTTTCGGCATTCGTCAAAGTGCTAACTCTCCTTATAGACTCCAATTCACAATTAACATAACGAAATTTGCTTCGATTTATGTAAGAATTTTTCTATATAAAATTTCCGATTGATAGACCACTTTTAAAATAACCGTTATATAAAGCATAATTATATCAAATAAATATTTTATATATTTTTTAGCAAATACTGCAGCGGCAGTAGCTGGTTTAGTTTGGTTTTTATCTTATTGTCCTTATTTATTTCTTCATGATCATTACAACGAATTAAGTTTACTGGTTAAACTCGGTGCAATGCTTGGATTTAACACAGCTATGGCATATGGATTTCAGTTAATTATAATGTTTGAAGGTAGTGGTGAAGGTTTACATTGGACGAATCTGTTCAGTACTGTTAATCCGGAGGATAATTTATCAATGGCTCATGTTATGGCGATGTTATTGTTTGACGCTACTCTTTATATGATTATTACATTGTATGTAGAGGCTTTATACCCTGGGGAGTATGGTGTCCCAAAAGCTTGGTATTTTCCACTTACCGTGGTTAATTGGCCATGGCAAAAAGCTGAAAGTAACCTTAACAATGCTTTAAAAATTTTAACTAATTTATAACGTTATAGTTCTTGATAGGATTACCGAGGAACGTGATGAGTCAGAAATTTATGAAAGGGAACCTACTAATTTAAAACCTGGCATAATAATTCGAAAACTCACCAAAGTTTATGCGAACAAAAAGGTGGCGGTCAAAGATCTAACTTTAACCATGTTTGAGGGACAAATTACAGTTCTTCTTGGTCACAATGGTGCAGGAAAGACGACCACGATGTCCATGTTAACCGGAATGACCCCACCTACTAGCGGCACAGCGATTATTAATGGTTACGATTTGAGAACTGGAATAGATAACATTAGGAGTAGTTTAGGTTTATGTGCTCAACATAATATTTTATTCGACGATCTCACAGTGGAAGAACATCTTTACTTTTTCAGTCGATTAAAAGGAATGAGGAATAAAGCAGAACTTAAGAGTGAAGTTGATAAGTTTATTGAACTTTTGGATTTGGTACCAAAGGTAAATAGATCTGTATTAAAAATTAATAAGAAAAACAATAATTTTACTAATCCTTAGAGAACTTCAATATCAAAAAGTCTCTCCGGCGGAATGAAAAGAAAATTATGTTTCGCAATTGCTTTTTGTGGAAAGTCAAAAGTGTGCCTCTTTGATGAACCAACAGCTGGAATGGATCCAGCGGCAAGAAGAGCTCTTTGGGATTTCATTCAAACCCAAAAAAAGGACCGAACAATACTATTAAGTACACATTTTATGGACGAAGCGGATCTTCTGGGTGATCGAATAGCTATAATGGCCGGTGGCCAACTTCAGTGTTGCGGTAGCAGTTTTTTCTTAAAAAAGAAGTACGGCGCAGGTTATCATTTGGTTATGGAAAAGAGCGCCGATTGTGATGTAGACGATGTAACAGATTTGCTTTCGAAATACATTCCCTCTATAACAGTAAATAGTAACGTTGGATCTGAATTAACTTATGTACTGGCAAAGGAGGAATCTGAAAACTTCGAAAAGATGCTTCAGGATATTGAAAACAATTCCGAAACATTAGGTATTTCTAATTTTGGAATATCGTTAACGACAATGGAGGAAGTGTTTATGAAGTATTTATTTTATTTTCGCAATATTTATTATACAATTTCGTTTTATTCAGGGTTGGTACTTATCAAGGATTAGATGATGAAAAGAAATTACTTAGTGTCGAAAATGAATTAAGATCAGACGTGAAAGGTAAGTAAAAAATATACACAGCTCGCTGTTGATTATATAAGCATAGCTTGTTTTTAATTGTATCTATGTTTAACACCTGCTATTTGTTGTGTGTATATTAGGTCAATTTTATTATACCTCATCTACTGAACATCTACATCTACTGACAATAATCAAGTTCAACCCAATTACACAGGACTTTTTTCATTTAATAGAACTTTATTTATATCAGGTTTGTCATTAGCAACCTCATTGTAACAATCCCAATACGATATATAAAATCTCTTGTTGCAGTTTCGTCTAGTTTTCTTTTCTTCGCTTGTAATTCATCATCACATTCATTACTAAGAGAACTATCGCTGTTATCATTTTCGATTATTAATTAAAGTATTCTCTTTTTAATGCAACAAACCGTTTTGAAAAATTACTTTCAGTTCTTGAGAAATAAATTTTTTAAATTAACGACTTTTTTTCGAATTTTTCAATTTTCGCCGATTAAGTTTTAAAAACTCGTATAAAATGCAGTTCTTGGAATATGAGTATGAAACTCTCCCAACGTGTTAATAAAAGTGTCTTCTTTCCAATGAACCAACCCGTTTTGAAAAATAACTTTTAGTTTTTAAGAAAACAATATTTGAAGTTTTGATAAAATATCCGATTTTGCAATTTTCATCGATAATTTTCAAAATTCGCTATAAAATTAATTTCTTGAAATATCCTTGTGGAAATATCACTAATCATGAATTAAAGTATCCTCTTTTTAATGCAAGAAGCCGTTTTGAACAATCACTTTGTTTTTCAGAAATAAATTTTTAAAATGATCGACAATTTTTTCGAATTTTTCAATTTTCGCCGATTAAGTTTTAAAAATTCGTATAAAATCCATTTCTTGGAATATGAGTATGAAAATTTCCCAAAGTGTTAATAAGAGTGNGTTTGTCTTTAGCAACCTCATTGTAACAATCCCAATACGATATATAAAATCTCTTGTTGCAGTTTCGTCTAGTTTTCTTTTCTTCGCTTGTAATTCATCATCACATTCATTACTAAGAGAACTATCGCTGTTATCATTTTCGATTATTAATTAAAGTATCCTCTTTTTAATGCAACAAACCGTTTTGAAAAATCACTTGCAGTTCTTGAGAAATAAATTTTTGAAATGATCGACAATTTTTTTGAATTTTGCAATTTTCGCCGAATAAGTATTAAAAATTCGTATAAAATCCAGTTCTTAGAATATGAGTATGAAAATTTTCCAAAATTTTAATAAGAGTGTTCTCTTTCCAATGAACCAACAGGTTTTGAGAAATAACTTTTAGTTTTTGAGAAAACAATATTTGAAATTTTGATAAAATATCCGATTTTGCAATTTTCATCCATAACTTTCAAAATTCGCTATAAAATTAATTTCTTGAAAGATTCTTGTGGAAATATCACCAATTATTAATTAAAATATCCTCTTTTTAATGCAAGAAGCCGTTTTGAAAAATCGCTTTGTTTTTCAGAAATAAAGTTTTGAAATTATCGACAATTTCTTCGAATTTTGCAATTTTCGCCGATTAAGTTTTAAAAATTCGTATAATATCCAGTTCTTGCAATATAAGTATGAAAATTACCCAAAGTGTTAATAACAGTGCCCTCTTTCCAATGAACCAACAGGTTTTGAGAAATAACTTCTAGTTTTTGAGAAAACAATATTTCAGGTTTTGATAAAATTTTCAATGTTACAATTTTCATCGATAACTTTCAAAATTCGCTATAAAATTAATTTCTTGAAGGATCCTTGTGGAAATATCGCCAATTATTAATTAAAGTATTCTCTTTTTAATGCAAAAAAACGTTTTGAAAAATCACTTTCAGTTCATGAGAAATAAATTTTTGAAATGATCGACATTCTTTCGAATTTTTCAATTTTCGCCGATTAAGTTTTAAAAATTCCTATAAAATCCATTTCTTGGAATATGAGTATGAAAATTTCCCAAAGTGTTAATAAGAGTATCCTCTTTCCAATGAACCAACAGGTTTTGAGAAATAACTTTTAGTTTTTGAGAAAACAATATTTCAGGTTTTGATAAAATTTTCAATGTAACAATTTTCATCGATAACTTTCAATATTCGCTATACAATTCATTTCTTGAAGGATCCTGGAAATATCGCCCACTATTAATTAAAGTATCCTCTTTTTAGAGTTGCTTGTTAGTTACATCAACATCAAAAATGTTCATTTTGTATCTTGAATCCAAATAAATTGACACATCTTATCGGCTTTCTTATTAATTTCATTTTTATTCAAATATCGCAATAATGTGGCAATATAGGGCATCACTTCAAAAATGCACCAGAAATTATAACCATAATGGCCGGACGCCGAATATCCGGTATCCGGCTATTCACAAAATTACTATCCGTTCCATCACTAGTTCTTTTCAATCGGTTTTTGTTTGTACCCTATGCAATTTATGCAACCCTTTACAATTTTAAATTTTTTATTTAAATCTGTTATGCCCCTATATTAATTAATGTGATTTATTTTCAATTTTAAGTTACAATTGGTGATAATAAACGTTTACGTGGATGGGAACTTAGAAAAAATCATTTTATTGCCATGATGATGAAAAAAATTATATATTCAATACGTACCTGGATTTTGTTCCTAATACAAAATATTCTTCCCGTCATTTTTCTTATAACGGCGGTTGTTGTATCAAAAACTATAAGATTAGGAGACAAACCTGAAAAGATGGATTTTTCTTTACATCCTTACGACAATCCGATAACTGTTGTATCCACATCGAACGAAACAGACGATTACTTTTTAAGTTATCTTAATGCTTTGAAATCGGATTATTTAAATGTTATGACATTCATAAATGGCAACATGATTACAAATATGTTGGAACAGGTATAAATTGAATTAAATGTTATTAAAAAATAAATTTAATATAATAATTATTTTAGACCAGAAAATACGAAAGCGATGTAAGAATGAAATATATAATAGGTTCATCGTTTCTACCTACAAAAAATACAATTATTGCTTGGTTCAATAATGAACCGTATCATTCTCCACCTCTTTCCCTACAATATGTAATGAATGCAATATTTCAACAGAAAATGAATTCTAGCGACTACAATATCTTGTTTTCAAATTATCCATTACCTTACTCTCCAGACACTAAGGTAAATATTATTTTTAATTATAAAATTAATTTAATAATAATCATATGATTAGATGTTAAATATAAAGAAAGGAAATACACTTGGTTTCCAAATAGCGTTTAACGTCGGATTTAGCATGGCTTTTGTAGCTTCCTTTTACATATTATTCTGTGTAAAAGATAGAGTCATTAACTCTAAACATCTTCAGTTTGTGTCTGGATTAAGTGCATCGATGTACTGGTTAACGGCGTATTTATGGGATTTTGTAACATTTGTGTTTACAACTATTTGTTTGGTGGGTACATTGGTTTGCTTTCAAGAAGAAGGATTTAAAACTGTAGGAGAACTAAGTAAATATTTCTTTTAATAAATTAAAAATTTAAGCTATATTAATTTTATATTTAGGTAGATTATCTATTCTATTATTATTGTTCGGACTTGCAATGTTACCAGAAATGTATCTAGCATCATTTTTGTTTAGAGTTGCATCTACAGGATACACAAGAATGACTTTAGTCAATATCTTTTTAGGTATGTTTATTTTGTTGGAATAAAAGAAATTGTGACTAAAATTTTTGTTTTTCAGGAACTACTGCTTTTATGACTGTACAAGTTCTATCAATTGAAGCATTAGAATTGCAATATGTAGCTGATATATTACAATGGTTTTTTCTGTGCGTCCCACATTATGCTTTATCCAGTGGAATACAAGCAATTAGTCTAAAAATATCTTTAAATAAATTATGCACCAATCTCAACCAAATGCTTTTAGAGCAATTTAAAAATACAACGGGGTCAGAACTGGAAATAAATTTTGCTTGCGAACTGCAACAAGCTTGTTGCGGTGAATACTTCAAAAATTTTCTGTTATATTTTATTTAATTTATATTTTTAGGTGTTGATGAAAATTTTTTGAGTTGGCAGAATAATGGTATTGGAAGACACATCAGTTTCTTAAGCACCGCTGCAGTTGTATTCACTATTATTTTATTAATTTCTGAAGAACGTATTCATCATCACATTAGATTTGGAAATCGTTGTATTCCAGAAATAACCGACGAACAAGACGAACCTGACGTGTTGGAAGAAAAACGAAAAGTTCGTATGGGCGAAATCACCCCGAGAGATTACTCGATAGTTTTAAAAGACGTTACTAAATGTTATAATAAACATATAATAGCTGTTAATCAATTGTGTTTGGGTGTAAAAGGAGCCGAATGTTTTGGTCTTCTCGGTTTAAATGGAGCTGGAAAAACCACAACATTCAAAATGATGACCGGCGATATTACAATTTCTAAAGGAGATATTTGGATATATGGATGGAACGCACAAAGTGCAATGAAACATATCCATAAAAACATCGGATATTGTCCACAATTTGATGCTTTGATTTATGATTTTACTGGAATCGAAACTTTGACTATGTATTGTTTATTAAGGGGAATCACTTTAAACGAAAGTAAAGTTATTGCAAAAATGTTATCGAGGGAATTTGATTTTTTACGACATTCAAATAAACGCGTGAGATATTATAGTGGTGGAACAAAACGAAAATTAAGTGCTGCTATCGCTGTAATTAACGATCCTCCTATTATATTTTTAGATGAACCTACAACAGGTAAAATATCTATTTCTTAAATTAACAAATTAATTAATAAATCTTTAAGGTATGGATCCTGTTAGTAGACGAAAAATTTGGAACACGTTTTGTCGATTACGAGACTCCGGAAAATGTCTTATTTTAACATCTCATAGCATGGAAGAATGCGAAGCTTTATGCACAAGACTAGCGATTATGGTCAACGGAATTTTCAAATGTTTAGGAACAACTCAACATTTAAAAAACAAATACTCTCAAGGGTACACTTTAACAATTAAAATTAAAAGACCTGAAAGCGGTAGAGAAATCAATAAAACCGATATCGAACCAATTGAACAATTCGTACGAAATAATTTTCCCAATGCTGTACTACAAGAACGATATCAAGAATTACTCACTTTTTATATAAACGACAAACGATTAAAGTGGTCCGTTATGTTCGGTCTTATGGAAACGGCAAAAAAATATTTAAACATCGAAGATTATTCTTTGGGACAATGTAGTTTGGAGCAGGTGTTTTTATCTTTTACAAAATTTCAAAGAAAATCTTAAATTCTAAATTGTGGATGAAGATATTAATAATATTATTAAATAAGTGGTTGTAAATTATGGAAGTTTTATAATTAAACAGTAATATTACTCATTTTCCTTCAGTTAATGATGTTATTTCTTATAAAGATGTGAAAATCTTGAGAATTGATTAAACGGGGAGGTAACATCCTCAATTTCATAACATCCGGTATAAAATGTACAACAATCTTCTCTCAATCAAGTGTAAGAAAATTATTGGGAAAGCGAGCTTTTATTAAATATCAAGGGAGATAAACATCAATCAAAGATCGTATTGGATACGATATTAAAGTATTATTGTATTTAATATGAAATGCTTTTATTTAGTCGTTATGTAGTTTTATCGCCGACGGCACCGGATCAGTGAACGAGTTTGGTTTCATTAGCATTTAATCTAAGGTTAAGAAAACAGCAGTTACTTAATCGTCTCTAATTGGTCGTAATGCGTGATGAATTATGTAGGGCACGCTTCAGAAAGATCAATTTAACTCCGTTAATGGGCCCCTTGCTTAAATATGACTCATAGCTGGTAACCTTGCGGTGATGGAATGGCAATAAATGTGTACCAAATTAAGACGTAATTGTTTAGTGGACGCCGTGTAATGACGGTTGTAAAAAATTAAAGGTTTCAGAGTTAAAAATTTAACTACTCACAAATCTAATTACAATGGCTTATAATTATATGAGACAACGTTTGGTCTTGAAAAAGTTTTTGTTTAACTCAAGGAACCTATCTTTATACAGGGTGTTTCGGTGACTCGGGGAATAAATTTAACCACATATACTAGAGTGAAAATGATGACAATTCATGTAAAAAAAAAAATAGTAAAAGTCTTCAAATTTCAAAGATACAGGCCATCAAAGTTAGGAAATTTTAACACATTTTTCCAAATATCTTAAACACTATTTACAGTAAAGCGCTGAAATTTGGTACAGTATCAATGTCGTGTAAAATTGCTAGGCAATTTATGAGTTGGATCGGTCCGCAGGAACAATGCTTACCGGCTGTTTCTAAAGTTTGTTTGCTCAGAACTTTTTTATTCTTTCATAACCCTACATTTATTTTTGCAGTTTCTAATAGTAAATTTAGTTTAGAAACTTTTATTACTCTTAGATAATATTCATAAAAATCACCGTTTTCGTGTTAAATCCAAAAATGTTGGGTTCCGATTTCAATAGTGCTATTACTAAAAAAAAGAAATCTAAGTTTTTGAACATCCTTTAGTATTTTTTATTACTTGTCTTGTTATTTTATGTACTTTTTTTATTATTCCTGTTAGTGTTGATTTTTAATTTATTGTTTTTGAGTTCTTTTATTAAACCAACTAAAACAAATTAAAAATGTGATTTAGCTAAATCTACACTTGGACATGTTGCATACATAATAGTTATGACAGCTCAGTTCGATTTTCACTTGTCATTGCTAATTCAAATTATTTATTTATTTATTTTTTTTAGTGTTATTGAATTCGGAGCCTAACATTTTTGCATTTAATACGGAAACGGTGGTTTTTATCAATATTCTCTAAGAGTGATAAAAGTTTCTAAACTAAATTTACTATTAGAAAATGCAAAAATAAATGTAGGGTAATGATAGGATAAAAAAGTTCTGAGCAAACAAACTTTATGAACAGCCTGTATAGCATTGTTCCCGCGTACCGATCCAACTCAAAAATTGCCTAATGATTTTACGTGATGTTAGTTTACGCTGTACCAAATTTCAACGCTTTACCATAAATAGTGTTTAAGATATTTAGAAAAATGTGTTAAAATTTCATAACTTTGATGGCCTGTATCTTTGCATTTTGAGGACTTTTACTAATTTTTTTTACATGAATCGTCATCACTTTCACTCTAGTATATGTGGTTACATTTGTTCCCTGAGTCACCGAAACACCTGTATATAGTTATAGTCAAAATATGTTTCGTTTATGTTGAATATACTATATAAGTATGCTTATTCGAGTTCACAACCGAAATATATTTGTTTAAATTGTCAAAAAAAGTTAAATAATGAGTTAATTAAGAATTTTTTCGTTGAAAGAAGCTGTATTAGTAACTACTAATATTACTAAATTTGAAAAGATTAAGTTCTACAGATTAGGGGAAGTGCATTGCAATTTATTTTCTAGATGATAAAATTATCGTTCTTATATATACATGTATGTTTTAAATCTTTCCTCCTATTTCATATTTTTTTATACAGGGTCATCCACGACGACCGTCCATTAGAACTATACGGTGTTCTGTCCAAAATAAAAATTTGAAAATTTAGTTTTAAGTATTATCAATTGCGTTCTCTTCGACTAAAATATTTTCAGATTTCTAACACTTCCGGTTATACCGGAAGTCGCCACCTACTTTATTTTTTTAAATGGAACACGTTGTATATTTTTACATATTTGGATTTGTCTGTCTTCAAGGTTTATGAATAAATTTACTTTTTGCAATTTGATTCGGCCGTTCTCGAATTATTCGAATTTTTCTAGAAAAATCTACTCCAGCAGACATTTGTTCAAAAAATCAGAGAACACTCGATTTTTGGGATATCAATTTAGGATTCAGAACATGCTTAAGCAACATGATAGAGTATGTTTTGGTGCCGAGTACGGCTGTGTAGAACGTTTGGTCACTTTACTATGGCAAGTTAACTTTCCGAAACTTGGAAGTACCATAACATCATTTTTTTAGATGGCACCCCCCATATTTTATTACTTAGTCGTCTTCGGTGTCTCATTTTACATCTTTTATATCCCATCTGTCCTCTACCTAACATTTATAGTTTGGGAGATAATTAAGGTTCTTTGAAAAATCCACACATATCATAAATACCTAAGTAGTGTGACCTAATGAATAACCAAATGTAGTGAGGGTTTGCAAATTTGTAGACTTGTGATGTTTGATGACAGCGTTTTAACTAAAATATTTTTAGGTGTACACACACATGTATGTTACATACACTATACCTATGTTGAGTCATTTTTGACATTTTAATTTCTTGTAATCAAAAATGTCTACTACAACGTTACTTGTTATAATTTATAACTCATCCATTCTGACCGCCAGAAGAAGAATATTGTGTTGGGAATGTTGTGGTGTTTATGTATTATCGGAGGATCAGTAAGGAAAAAATAAACAGTTTGACATTTGCTAAAGCTATGGTTTATTTCTGTTGGTGTGATGACTAGGTTACTTTTTGTAGTGATCTGTTCTCGAGAAGTCGCAATGCTGTCACCAACACATTGCGTAAAATTCCTTGGTGTCTCTCAGAATTTAAGTTTTCATCGTAACAAAGAGCGATAAAATTCCAGTTTTAATGTTCTTGATTCCAAAGAAAATGTTCCAAATTCCCGGCAATTTTTTAATAGCCTGTGTACAATACCCTTAGTTGGTACGGGATGAGTTGGAAATTTATGGAAATCTTTCCGCAAACAGACGACACGTACGCGCAATTATTTCAAAGTAACCTAAGTAGTCATCACACCAACAGAAATAAACCATAGCTTTAGCAAATGTCAAACTGTTTATTGTTTCCTTATTGATCCGTTAATACATAAACACCACAACATTCCTAAAACAGAATTTCTTTTCCGGCGGTCAGTGTAGATGATTTATAAATTATAGAAAGTAACGTTGTAGTGATTAAAATCTCAAAAATGACTCAACTTAGGTATAGTGTGTGTGACATACAAGTGGCCTAAAATTGAACGGAAATTTAATAAAATACCGGTGTTCCATTTGAAATATATTTCACATGAAATATGAAAATTGTCACCTCTTGTGGTGTAACCACAAGTACCTGAAAACAGAACCTGAAAATATTTTAGTTAAAAAGATGGCAACAAACATCACAAGTCTGCAAATTTTCAAACCCCCACTTCATTTGGTTATTCACTAGGTCACACTAGGCACTTAATTCATGGCATACTAGATTAAATATCGATATGATATGGAGTAGTACGTGTTTGCTTGAATATACGGGTATTCGTTGATATAAAACGACATGAAAACTCAAACATCAATCCTCATCTCACTATTGCGTGCATAATAGATATCCTGGTTGCATGAAAAAAGGATCGCTATTATTGAACGAAATTTTGAATTATTTTCTTCTTGGATGGTTCGTTTTCGCACTTTACCTTAACTTTTCCAAGACATGCGATTGGGATAATCTGCTTATTGTAAGCCAACCTAAAAATAGTTCCCCGATATCTCTTATTTGACTCATAATTAAAGGTTGTTTTGTGATGTTGATAACTTGGGTCCATACTTAATCAAGTTATATAATATTGAACCTCTTAAAATGTAGTCTAACTACATTTAAGAGGAAAATAGAATATAAATAGAATTCAGCATGCTATAGATGTTGGAGTACTAATAGCAATTTTCCAAAATATCATTAATTAAAGCTTTATGTTATTTATTGTTTTTGTTGTGCTGAATTATTTTATCAGTATCAAGTATCAACCTTAGCATAGGCGCAGAAAAATATTAGACAAAATTGTTGTGGTGGAGATAGGAATACATAACATAGGATACAAAATAATACAAATTAAAAGAAAAAAATAAAGTAAATATATATAGAATTCCCTTTTTTCGAATTCTGTATAATTCGGTAAAAGTCGTGTTCATACAAAATGCCTAAATTGTCTAGAATCTAGAATCTAGAATATACTAGCATAGATCTAAATTACTTTCTGTTACGTCATATTTTCTGTGAACTTACATCAAAACGTTTATAGTTTTTGTGTTGTTTAAAATGTGACGCATAGAAAAGTTAACGAACAGAATTCTTATCGTTAATCATGATCAGTAAGACCTCGAATTCTGTTTGAATCGTTGACAGGGATTCGATGTATTCGACGTTGGATTGATTTGGTGCGTCCAACGTTTATGGCTATCGCTTAATCGAAAGTTCCTCGCACGGACACACGTGGACGGCAGGTACTTATTGTTTCTGTGTTTCTATTAAAGAGGAACCGGTCGTAGCACGTTTAATCTCGATTCGGGAATTTATGGTATTCGGATCGGCATCGTGAACAGTACAATGGGACTGTAAATATACGAACAAATCGATAGCGCGGTTTGGCGAGACCATTTTTCTCCGCTAATGGTGAACAGAAAACGACGTGAAAACTCAAACATCAATCTGTTGCGTGCATAATAGATATCCTGGTTGTATGAAAAAAGTTTCGGTATTATTGAACGAAATTTTGATTTATTTTCTACTTGGATGGTTCGATTTTGTAAAACACATCTAAAACTATTAACTTTTATTAATGTTATTTTAAGAGTGAAAAACTGAGTATCCTGTTTAGTGGACCGTGAAAAACAATAATGTGAATTGTATTCAAATTATCGATACGGATCGTCTATAAATTTTCAACGGTCCAATTGTTGTTCCGATTAGGTATAGAAGGTGATCTTATCTCCGGTTAATATTACATAGCGACTAGTTTATGTGAGCAACGGTCCGCGTTTTCAATAGAAGGCCAATTCATCGCTTATATTAACACGTAACAGGATTCATAATTGAATACTCATTGCTTCTATTACCTCATCACACTACGATTATACGGAATTTTAATCAAAACTCATTTTGTTCTTGTTTCCTATAAAAATAACAACGTTCATAATGTTTATTATCCTGTTTTCTAATCCACGATTTTAAATCATCCACCAGCATACTCTTACCTTAATAGCAGTATATACGAGTTTACCAACAGGAAGGTACAGCTAATCATTTATAGCGATACCATGCAGAGTAGTGCTTTTATTTAGCATTAAGTAAGGATAAATCGCTTTAAAGTCGAATCTTTATAGCTTCATCGATCGATAAGCTACGATGAGCCGAGCGTAAACGAGTGCAAAAAGCAGTCGAAACTCGCTATTTTAGCCCATTCGTAGCGCTATCCTTTAATTAGCGCACTCAAATTAATAGGTTAGCAAACCGGCAATCCTCGTTCAACATAAAACGTACACGAATGTAATTCGTACGTGCGCCACTTAATGAGGATATCCGCACTCATTTTCTTCTCTCAATGAATTGAGAGAAGTTTACAACACTTTATTTTCATATTTAGTTAAACATTTATGTTTAACTTATGTTTTCGTTAAAAAAGAAGAATATCTTTTTCTATGAAACATTAGTAGTATATGAAACGACCAGAACCTAGTATTAACTTTTAACTGACAAGATAAGATCACGAAGTATACGTTTAACCGATCATAACAATGGAACCGCAGAAATTTCGCCAAGAGCTCATGTTCTCAATTTGAATACAATCCCCGTTACCGTCGTTAGCGTTCCTTTCTTTTGTACCGCGTTTGGCCTTAAGTCAGCTTTATTCGTAGAATTGAAAAAAAAACGAGCAGAACTCGGCACGTGCCTCGGACACATTCACCTCGTGTTCAACGTTCTACCGAAATCGTGTCGCCTTTATGGACATTCTTTGTACGGATTTCTCAACTAATTGCTTTGATCATTAACAACCGCTTTTTTCTTCGAAAATGGACAACTTCTAATCTTGTAGTGCAAGTATAAATATAAAAAATAAAAGAAAATTTTTTTTAGTCTTTGGAATTTAAATGATATTAGATCATTTCAAGTATTCTTTTTAGTTGAATTCTGCAGCTGGTAGGTAGATAGATATATGGTAAGATTGTCGTGCGTTAATGTCGTTCCTCAAACTACTAAGGGTTTAAATGACGCATCGTCGCGTATCTGATACAATCTAGTTCCCAGCTTGTACACTAAATCAGTTTTATTAAAAGTTGCGTGCACTGAAAGACACGTGCGTGGTTACGCTTGGAACTCTTATGGGAGAGAGATGGATACTTTATTCTGGAAGATAAACTAGGTCCGGTTTGTTGGTGTTTCTGGTCGTATAATAATAAAAACAGTTTGGCCGTATCCAGAGAACGGGATGTGTGCGCGCATATCTCTGGTCATTGCGAACAACTTTCTTGGCATCCTCAACGCGCCAGCTATTTTAAGTACATACACAACCCAAGTATTTTGCTTTTCTCTTTTTCGGTTTTAGTTTTATGACCAAGAGTATTAATATTATATGAAAAAATTCATGAGATTTATTAAAATCCGCCATTTATTATAGTTATAGGCTAAAAATGCATGTTTGGTCTACATATACACATAGTTTCGTGAATAACTCTACAATCAACATTTTCCAAAACAAAATTTTTAACTCCTTCAGCAGTTACTCTGGTACCAGTAACATCCAACAGCGATAAATTTAAATGTTTCAAATGATGCAATGCTTTATCAGTTACCCCGTAACAGCCTCTCAGGGACAATTTTTTTAAACTGACGTCGTTGTATTGTCCTAAATAACGACTCTCTGCCATTCCTGAAAATTAAGTGATTATAGTTAATAATATACCAAAAATACATAATAATTATTGAAATTATGTTTGATTGTGTTAATAAAAAATGGAGATAATATTAATAAAATATATTTATGGAGGATTCATGTACATACGTTGAATTAGTAGTGGAAGCAATATTGGAACGGATATTGGAAAAGTAAAATAAAGCACATTTTTTATTATAAACACCGTTAAAGCCAGAATTGATTCTTATCACTACACGATTGCGAAACGTCGGTAATACCTGTCCGCTGGAAGACCAATAGGTGTGTGGAATGGCTTGTCAAACTATAAAAACTCTAACAAAAAATTGCCGGTTGCTAACTAGCTAAGATTACGTTTTCAGATTAGGCAACCCAATATTTTGCAAAGTAAGACAAAAATGCCCTAAGCATCGTTATAGAACTTAGTATGGCTGGTAAGAGCTTAGAAACTTCGACTACAAGTGTCTAAAACTTAGACACTTACGGGGAAGGCTATCGAAATTATTACGGGAATTCTATCTTTAGACCTTGTAGGTAGAAAAACAAGCGAGATGTACTAAAAAGAAATAATGAAGAATTGATAGGCGATGATATCCCGTCTTGGATGTGAGTCACTGATAATGAAGCATGCTGTATTAGAGCACTCAGAATTTGATACTCAGAAGAATCGTGAAAGGAAGTGAAGAGTTCACCTCTTGTTCTGCTTTTATTAAGACAAAATCTTGTGTTTTCTGTCATAAATTGTTAAGCTTCTTGAGAAGTTTGGATTTGCCAGAAAGTCCGTTTGATTTGGGGTTCCTTTGCTCATATTGCCAATCTACCGTCCTCTATTTTATAGATATGGTCTCTCCAGAATTTTCGTCTTGATATCGAGAATATTAACATACCTGGATATCCGGTTCTTCTCGTGTTATAGCACTCCTAATCTGGCCACCTAGCGTTACTCGTTTAATCGATCGCAATTTCTATCCTTCTAATCATACAGTTTGTTTTAGAAGTATCTGCCTAAGTTTCCGACGCATATGGTCCCATAATTCACTTGTAGATTTGGCGTTTACTTCTGTTGACATGGACTGTTCCATACCTCTCTCAACATTGCAAAGGCTCCTTTAACTTTATTTGTGCGATTTCTTATGTCTTCTTCGGTGTCTCTTGTGTTGGTTACTACGTTGCCTAGATAGGTGAACTATCGAACGTCTTCAATTGGTGTATTATAATAATAATAATGCCTTTTATTAATTGAAATCATTACATTATCTATAACTTAATAACGAAAGTATATAGGGCGTAGTTAAGGACCTAAGTCCTTCTCTTCCACTTAACCCTGATCTATCTTATCTATATTTAACCTTCGTTGCCCTAAACCCTAGGCATGCTTGCACATCACTGAATGTATGCGCTACCAGGCATATGTTATGTTATCTACATAAACTAGGTCTTGTTTGTGTAGTGCCCATGTTATACCTCGTTGTTGGTGGTTAGTGATATTTATGATCCAGTCTAGTGCTATGTTAAAGAGTAATGGGGACAGAGGGCATCCTTGTCTTTCCTTTGTGTACTACACACCATTTTGTACCTTTGTATTAATCTTTTATTAGTACTATTAATTTGGATGGGATTCCCGTTAGCTATAAGATGCGCTCTGTGGTCTAGTGAATCGAATGCTCGCTTGATGTCTATGCACACCATATACATTGTGGCTCTTCATTCCATGCATTGCTCTGTTATTATTCTTAAACTATTAATGTAGTCGACGCATGATCTGTTCACTCTGAAACCTGCCTGTTCCTTTCTGAATTTTGTTTCAATTTGGTCCATTATTCTTGTATTTATTATCTGAGCTATGATTTTATTATTTATATTGAGAAATGTGTTGCCTTCGAATTACTACACCTCTGTAGACCGCCCCTCTTTGAGAGTTTTATAATTATTCCCTCCTTTCAGTCTCAATCTTTTCCTTATTCGATACCCTCTTGAGTATAATGGTTGAATTAGTTTAGTAATGTGTTGTGAATCTGCTATTTGGAATTCAGCCTTACTTTACTTTAATGTTCCTTTTGTCATTTATGAGATGCGATGTCTTGTCTGTAATCCACTCTTCCTTTGTTGTCCTCCCCTTTCCCAGCAACCTTTTCCCTGTCTCATTCCGTCCATCTTTCTACTTGAACTTCATTTCTGGCTTCATTCTAATGGCCAGAGTTTCCTTTGATGGTTCTCTTGAATTTTCGGAGTACAGATAGGTCTTCCAGTCTTTTCAAATTGTATTTACGCCTTGTTGCTTTGGTATTCTGATTTTACTTATCTTAACTATATTTGAATTACGCCAATCAATAGATGGTGGTCACTTGCCATATCTGTCTCCTTCTTGTTAGAGCGAGTGTCGCCATTTTCGGTTTATCGTGATGTCGTCTATTTGATTTTCTGTTTTCTGGTCTGGCGATAGACAAGAATCACCCATGACAATTAATGTGTTCCCTTTGCGTCCCCGCATAGGTCATGTTCCATTTCTTTAGAGAATTTCTTCCATTATGACTCTTTCAAGTTTATTTTATTGCTGTATTCACTTCACTTCTGATATTCATATACTATTAATCTTCGTTCATTGTTCTTACACCTATACCTTAAGTAAGCACACGTTTGTACACATTTGTGTTCCTTCGCTAATACCTTCACTTCCTCAATGAACCATGGCTTGTCATTTCATTTTCCATACACGTTACACAAGTCACCTTACATACAAGTCTGTGTTTTTAAGATATCATAATTTCATTTCCGGCATATAATGATCCATAATAAAGCCTTTTTGCAATTGTAAGATTCATTGTCAGAAAAGTGAATTAGTATTATAAGAAAATGTTGGTCATATTTAAATAAGAATTAACTAGTACACAGCATATATGTACCTGCATTTCCACATCTGTTTATTTTATGAGGCTCTTGATATTCTAAAAATCACAAATTAAAAATTTTAAGTACCAATGAAGACAATAAGTAATGGTGAGAATATGACTTACCGTTGCTTTCTATTGGAGGGTAACGTCTCCAAAGAAAAGATCCAGGCACGTCCATCCTATAAAAATCTCTCGGAGGTGACCACCACCCTGAAACAGTTTTCTATGTAACATTTATGACAAAAAAATAGTTCAAAATAGCAAACAATGTGAACTATGTTCTAACACAGCGATGTCTTTTTCATTTTGATTTGGGTTTTCTGAAATATCTGCAGAATTTAGTCTACTTATTCCCATCATTTTAGAACTCTCAGTAGGTTTAAGTGTGTAAATAAATCCTCCCTTACAAACTTTTCGTTCGATATCGTCATCAGAAACAGTTAATTTTTTTCTTTCAACAACAATCCTTGCAGCTATGTTAGGATTATTTTGACAAGTACATTCATCATATGGCCTCTTATATAAAGTGCTTTGAAAAGTATAACAGCCTTGAATTGGTTTGGCTGAAGAATACTCCTTGATGCTAGTTTCAGATAGATGTCCATACGGAATTTTCTCAATTGTAGAAGTAGAACCAACAAAATTGTGTAAAATATCTTCATTCCAAAGAGCGATATCGTCAAGATCAGAAACATAACTATTTTTTAATTTTTGGGAGTTGTCAGCTATTTCTACTTCGCGTGCATCCTTTTCCACGAAATATGTAGTGAGATAGTCTTGGAAATAAATTTCTTGTACCTTTGGCTTTTTAGCGAGGGATTGTAAAAATATATTTCCAAGACCAGAAAACCGACAATCCACAATTCGCAACGAATCGAATTTTTTCGTTATGCTTAACTCAACATCATATAATCCTTTGCACTTATACAGTGATAAAATTTCTAGTGATTTTAGTGATTCTAATCTGTCTAGTATAGAAAGGTTAACCCAGAAACACTGATCCAATATAAATACCTAAAAATATTTTAATTATTGAATAATTGATTAAAATGAGTACTATTATAGTACTTTTAAATTTTTTAATTGCTCGGGATAGTATTTTTGCAATTCGAACGTATTTGTTACATAGGTCTTTTTTAAACTCAATTCGATTAAAGTTTCTGGAAAATCTCTTAATTTCAACTAAAAAACAGTAAATCAAAAAACGATAAATGTAAAAATATAAGATAATACCATATTTCCGTCAATTTTCATATTTTCCAAAGCTAAAACCGACAGATTTAAAGTAGATATATTTAAGAAAAAGTTATCCGGAATTAGTTTAATGTGTCTCCCATCCGCACTTATTCTAACATCTTCGGTGGTATTGGTTATTTTATCAATGCAAAAGTCAATTTTCTCATTATTGTTTGTAAGATCTCTAGCGTCAATTTTATACCATAAATATTTAGTTTGAACGATGTCGTGTAATCGTTGGCATGTCCTTATATGAAAACACGAAACGTTTATGTATCGCAAAAAAACAACTAAAATCAAAAAACTTACTTGCTTATTAACCATAAATCAGTTAAATTTAAATATCGAAATATATTTAATAGTATGTAGTCGTTTAAATTTAAAATATTCAATTTGTGTGTATTAGCTGACATTTTAAATAATATGTTTTTTTAAATTGTTGTCGTCAGGTATTACTGCAGATATAAAAATAACTGCAGTAATCATAAAACACGAATACGCGATAAGATATAGATTTTATCACACACCCGTTTTAGATCGAGATTTCTTATAATTAATTAATCCACTCCATAAGACAATGCAGTGATTTATTAACATTACAATGTCAACAACATATTTTTATGGCTTTGACTACGGAAGGCTCTCAGTTTCTTGTGCAAGGTGACATATGCATACAGAGCATCAATTTGTTCAATATTTGACGATTTAGCTTTTTTGGCCTTCCACATTTGACAGATCCTAGAAAATATATAAAGCTGAGAAAGCGCTTCAGTTCATATAACACATTTTATTTATGTAATATTATTCTCTTGTGGAACACTTTTCCTTCGAAACTTTCAGCGGGTTATGGATGTTGTACTTCTATGAACAATCAATTTTATTTCATCACAAACAATTTAATTCACCCCTCGTTTTGTTGGTTTGGTTTTTTCTTGTCCAATTTTCCAATTTAACATGATGTCTTTTAAGTTCTTCCCTCTTGCTTCTCTTTTTGGTGCCGTTTCCAATCCACGTAGTGTTTCATAATCTTCATCTTCCACATTTTCAGTTTCTGAAATAGCATCATCACATATCCAATTCCAGTCATCATTATCAGATTCTGTGTTAACTTCATTTCTGTCCTCATACGTTTGTTCTTCGTTTTGAATGTTATCTTCATTTCTGCTTCAATAATTTACGTTTCCAGGATGTCATTTTTAATGGAGGTATTGCAATCAAAGCCTAAATAGAAAAACTAATCGGTATTACAATATATGCTCCGCTTGAAGCTTAGAATAAATTTTGTTTTTTATACAAAGTGGGTATGTATAACTTAACGTATGAATAAACTCGTTCTCAGAAATGTTTTTACTATTAATGATTTGATTAAGAATCAAGCATCTCTCCAAAACATACTTTGTACGCCTATTGATCTCAACCCAACCCAACCCAACAATAATTTGTTTTCCAAAGCCAAATGTGCAAAAAATTATTCCTAAAACCACCTCACAATATATGTTAACTGGATATGTGTGTGTATATCTCTGGTTAATCTCTAGCTTATGTATGCGCATAACTTTTATAAGATTTATAATGCATCTGCAATATTTTCAGTTGTATGAAGGACATTGATATTAAATTACAAGATTAATACCACCTTTATTAAAATCATTTATAGTTACAGTGTTAAAAATGCATTTTAGGTCTACATGTGCACATACTTTCATGAATAACTCTACAATCAAAATTATCCAACATAAAATTTTGTACTCCTTCAGCTGTCACTTTGGTGCCAGTAACATCCAACAAGGATAAATTTAAATGTTTCACATAATCCAATGCTTTATCAGTTACTCCATAACATCCTCTCAACGACAACTTCTTTAAACTAACGTCGTTGTATTTTTCAAAAAACATATTGTCATACATTCCTGAAAAATAATTCATTATGATTAAGATTATTCTAAAAATACCTAATAATTAAACGTAATAAAGAAAAACATACATTTTATAATTAGAAAAAAAAATTGCAATAGAAGAAACTGAAAAATTTGTGAATCTTTAGAAGAGCACAGTTTTCGCTTTGTTGGAAGCAAGATAATAGGTAATTTGTCGTGACAACTAATAACTGTAGATTGTTCTTACACTAGCTGGGCAGGTAGAGGCCTAGTATATACTACAAGTAAATAGAAATGCCGTCTTATTGATTTCCAAAACGTAAATAACGTTATATCAAAAGAATTCGGCTTAGAGATATAGGTATATATAGGTATGATATATATAGATATGACATAGATATGTATTGCACTCATCCTAATCTGTCCTTGTACAATAGAAATACTTAGATCTTACTTAATATACAATTTCAAAGTCAAAATTTCAATGTCATAGAAGTAAAACTTGTCTTTTTTGACATATGTCATAGTAATTTTCCAAACAAGAGCTTAAATTTAAATGATGTGCCACTAGTTACTTAGAGGGTTCTACTCATTCTTTAATGGATATGTTGTTAATATGGTTTAATTAGTTGTTAATACTTAACCGTTACATAATATATACATACTTGCATTTCCACATATGCCCCTACGAGGCTTTCTTTGCTCTTCTGGTACTTTTTTGATTGAATAGCTGTTTATTAATAACACACAACGTAAAGTATTTTCCATCACAGCGATGTCCTTTTCACAATGATTTTGGTTTTCTAAAGTATTCGGAGAATTAGATTTACTTGTTCCCATCACATTAGAACTATCAGTAGGTTTAAGAGTGTAAATGTAACCTCCCTTACAAACTTTTCGTGCCATATCCTCATCAGAAACTGTTAATGTTTTTTTATCACTAGAAATCCTTGTAACTATGTTAGGATTATTTTGACAAGTACATTCATTATAAGGCCTCTGGTATAAAATACTTTGAAAACTATAACTGTCTTGAATTGGTTTGGCTGAAGAATACAAATGAATACTACTGTCAGAAAGATATCCATAAGGAGCCTTCTCAATTGTTGCTGTGGGTCCAACAAAACTATGTAAGATGTCTTCATTCCAAAGTGCGATATCATCTAAATCAGAAACATATGAATTTTTCAAGTTTTTGCAGCCGTGAGCTATTTCTAATTCCCGTTCATCCCTCTCTAAGAAGTAAGTAGTAAGGTAGTCTTGGAAATAAATTTCTTGTATCTTCGGCTTTTTAGCAAGACATTTTAAAAACATATCTCCCAGACCAGAAAAACGGCAATCCACAATTCGTAATGCATTAAATTCTTGCATTGTTGAAATATCTAAATCAACATCATACAATCCTTTACACTTATACAGTGATAAAATTTCTAGTGAACTTAACCATTGTAACACATCTAATATCCAGCGGCTAACCCAGAAACAGTGATCCAATATTAACACCTACAAATATTTGAGTAACAGAAAAGTTTTAATATGTTATATTTAAAAATTATACTTTTAAATTATTTAGTTGAACAGGACAATAGTAGTGTATCCCGGAAGTATCTGTTATATATGTTTTTTTAAAACTTAATTCTATTAAACTCTCTGGAAAATCTTCTAGTTTCAGCTAAAAAAATAATACCAAACCTTAAAACGATAAATGCTAAATACATAGAAACGATGAATATACCATATTTCCACAAATTTTTTGATTTTCCAATGCTAAAACCGTTAAGTTTAAAGTAGATAGATTTAAGAAAAAATAATCAGGAATTATTTTAATGTGTCTCCCATCCGCACATATTCTAATATCCTTGGTGGAATTGGTAATTTTTTCAATGCAAAAGTCGATTTTTTCTCTCTTGTTTGAAACATCTCGCGCATCAATTTCATACCACAAATATTCAGTTTTAACCAAGTCGTGTAGTCGTTGACAAGTTCTTATGATGAAATAAAGAAAATAACAATATGGAGAATTAGATAACAATTAACTTACTGGCTCACTAACCACAAATCAGTTTTGTTTAAATATCGAAATATATCCAACAATGTATAATCGTTTAAATTCAAAATATTCAGTGAGGATGTGTTGCAAGACATTTTGAATATTACAATTTTTTAATTATTGTCAACAGATGCTACTGCAAATAGAAAAATAACTGTGTACAACAATTAATAACCATAAAACATGAACAAGTGATAAGATAAAGGTTATTTGATTGAAGTACGTTTTAAGCCCATTCGCATATTTCCATGTTGCGTTCCGTATCGAATTCTTTCCGTCCAGTTACTGAACTCTCACAAATATTTCCTAATGAAGAGCAAAAAACCTGCACATCTGACTTAAAACATTCTTTAACTAAATTAAATAAAAAGTATTTATTTGAACCAGTTCTCTACTATGATTAAAATGTATATTTATTTATAGATTTAACGCTCACAGTTGTGATGTTACTCTTGGAAATGAAAGAAGCATCATGGCTAGAACTATCAGTTGACTACGGCTAAATCCCTTTTTCATACATTGAGTTTTGAATTAAAGTAGTTGCACCTTAATTGTCGCTTACTATAATTGGACAACCTCCTGATACTCGTTATAAACTGTTTTGGTTTATAAATATCGTGATACCCAATTTCCACTATGGTCGCCATCGCGGTTTGGATTTGTATTCAATTTGCTTAAATGCGTTTTGATACTTCTCTATCCACAGTACAAAATGAATTTTTCATTTACATAAAAATCAACTCTATGATTTACTTTCTTTGCAAAATAGAAGTTTTCAAAAATGTGCAATTTAAAGAAACAATTAATATTTCAACACCTTGTGTCTTTATTGGAATAACGTTTAAAAGTCTGAAACTTTTAGTTAAATTCTTTACCATGCAACATACTGCTATAGCAATCCCACGTTTGAGATTTATCTGCACGCATAGCAGCAAGATTACAAATACACAAAGAAATGCATTTTATTGACAAAAAAACAAAATACCTTTTTAATTAAAATAACAATTTTGCAGGAATTAATAACTAACACAAATAAAGGTACAGAGCCAATGTGGAACCATTTCTTGCAAAAATTTGAGCACCGAGCAACAACAACGCCTATCATAATTATAAGTAGTGTCACCTCGCTTAGATTTAATCAGCTAATGCCGGTAATTCCATCAAAACACATGAAGCTGGTCTTCAGGACTTCGAATTGAAGAACATCTCTTCGAATTGGATACCTTGGGATCGAAGTTGAGTTCTATCCAGTATTAATAAAGTGTTTTGTGGATCCGCTGGAATTACCTGTCGTATTGGGGTCATGTATTTATTCATGATATCAGTTCGTATAATGTGTTGTAGATGCGTTGATTCAGTGTCGATGAGAGCTTCATGAAGACTAACCAGAGGGATGACGTCAGTGATAGCTTTCATAAAGTTCCTAGGTAACATCCTAGTAGTATCTTTTGATTTTCCTGTTAGGCTTTGGGATCTTGTCATTGTA